CAGCGCTGTGAGCTTCCCTAAAGCAGTGCCCTGCTGGGACCCCAGCGTTGTGAGCTTCCCTAAAGCAGTGCCCTGCTCACAGCAGTGCCCTGCCAGGACCCCAGCGCTTTGAGCTCCCTCACAGCAGTGCCCTTCCAGGACCCCAGCACTGTCAGCTTCCTCACAGCAGTGCCCTGCCAGGACCCCAGCGCTTTGAGCTTCCTCACAGCAGTGCCCTGCCGGGACCCCAGTGCTGTGAGCTTCCCCACAGCAGTGCCCTGCCAGAACCCCAGTAAATCTGAGTTCTCCCAGCGTAGCTCACACAAAGCCCCCGGAAACCCGCTCTGGCATTAGCAGCCGCAGTCCATCTCTCTGAGAGGGAAGGACTCCACGTCTCATGCCAGAGCCCCAGGGAATGTTTGCTCGGCCACGCTGCCGGCCCCCACTCTGCCCTCCCTCGGCTCAGGACATTTCCCACGGCCCCGTGTTCCTGCTGCTCTTCAGACGTGCTCCCTTCGGCTCTTATCTTGCCCTTTGCTGGCCCAGGCAGAGATAAGGGCCTGGATCTCCCAGCAAACAGGGCAGGAGCCTGGATCACTGAGGCTGAATTTCATCCCTCCCTCACCCAACCCCTGGCGCCGCAGGGCCGCAGTGACCAGTTCCTGCAGTGTTGAAGCTGCCACCCACAGCCTCTTTCTGCCCTCTGGGGGGCAGGTCCCCATCCTCCTTCTGCCCCACGGGGGCGAGCAACCCTGCCCATTCCTGAGAGCTGGCGATGGGCACGGCCACCCTCCCCGAGCACGGCCTGGGAGCTGGAGGGGCGGGAGCGCTCCAAGCCATGTGCCTGCTGGGCCATGCAGGGTGGAACTGGGGTCACCCTCTATGGACAGACACCCCTGCCTGCTGCATTGGGTGCCCATCAGCTGGGTTTGCCTATCACTTGTGGCCAGGAAGGGACATGGTCCCAAAGGCTGGGCTCCAGCCATCTCCCCCCACCTCCCAATTCAGCATCGCGCCTTCTCCTACCTTCGCTTCGCATTTCTTGTGGCTGGCGATCTTGCAGGCTGTAGGGGAGAGAAAAGGGAGTGTGAAGGGGAGATCCCTGCACAGCCCAGGGCTAGTGCACTGGGGCCTGGCTCCTGGTGAGCCCCGGGGCCGGGCATGTGAATACCGGTGCTCGTGTGCTGCGGCCTGGCTCCTAGTGTGCACGGGGGCTGGGAGTGTGAGTCCTGGTGCTCATGTGCTGGGGCCTGGCTCCTGGTGAGCCCAGGTGCTTGTGTGCTGCGGCCTGGCTTCTAGTGTGCTTGGGGGCTGGGACTGTTAGTCCTGGCGCTTGTGCACTGGGGCCTGGCTTCTGGTGAGCCCGGGGGCTGGGAGTGTGAATACTGGTGCT